GAACATGTCCATGGAGAGTTTTGAGCAGAAGAATAAAGAACAGTACATATAATTATGACAGTTGTGAGATGCACAAAGGCACCTCATGTAAATTGGCAGCACTCATAATTTAAGCATTTTAATTTATATATGTATTATGACAGTGTTCCACAGATGCCAGAAAGTTTTGAAGAAAATCAGTGAATTTTAATTTATTTTGCCCACTGCAGTATGTCATCTGATGTCTTGACTGCTGCTTCCATTCGTGTTGATTGTGGAACCAAGTAATATGAAATCTTGACAACTTCAATCCTTTCTCCATTTATCATGCTGCTGCTTGTGGGGCCAGTTATGAGGATTTTCATTTTGTTTATGTTGAGATGTAATCTATACTGCAGACTGTAATCTATGATTGTCATCAGTAAGTGCTTCAAGTCATCTTCACTTTCAGCAAGCAAAGTTGTGTCGTCTGCATATTGCAGGTTGTTAGTGAGTCTTCCTCCAATCCTGATGCCTTCTTCATATAGTCTAGCTTCTTGGATTATTTGCTCAGCACACAGATTGAATAAGTATGGTGAAACGATACAACCCTGATGCATTCCCTTCCTGATTTTGAAACCATGCACTGTCCCCTTGTTCTGTTTGAATGACAGCCTCCTCTATGTACAAGTTTCTCAGGAGTACAATAAGTGAAGGAATTCCCATTCTTCTCAATGTTATCCATAATTGTTGTGATGCACACAGTCGAATGCTTTTGCACAGTCAATAAAAAACATATGTAAACATCTTTCTGGTATTCTTTGCTTTCAGTTAAGATGGATCTGACATCAGCAGTGATATCCCTCATTCCACATTCTCTTCTGAATCCTACTTGAATTTCTGGAAGTTCTCTGTCAATATACTGCTGCAGCCATTTTTTAATTATCTTCAGTGAGGTTTTACTTAAGTGCAATATTAATGGTATTGTTTGATAATTACCACATCCTGTGGAATCACCTTTCTTTGGAATGGGTAAAAATATGGATCTACTCAAGTCATTTGACCAGATAGCTGTCTTCAAAATCTCTTGGCATAGACAAGTGAGTGCCTCCAGCACAGCATCTGTTTGTTGAAACATCTCAATGGGTATTCTGTCAATTCTTGTCCTTTACCAGTTACTTCAGTGTCACTTCAACTTGTTCCTTCAATATCATTGGTTCTTGATCATATGCCACCTCCTGAAATGGATGAACATCAACCAATTCTTTTTAGTATAGTGACACTGTGTATTCTTTCCATCTTCTTTTGATGCTTCCTGCATCATTCAATATTTTGCCCATAGAATCTTTCATTATTGTAGCTCAAGGCTTGGATTTTTTCTTCAGCTCTTTCAGCTTGAGAAATGCCTAGCATGTTCTTCCTTTTTGGTTTTCTAACTCCAGGTCTTTGCACATTTCGTTATAGTAGTTAACTTTTTGTCTTCTCAAGCTGCTCTTTGAAATCTTCTGTTCTACTCTTTTATCTTGTCATTTCTTCCATTTGCTTTAGCTACTCTTCATTCAAGGGAAAGGGTCAGAGTCTCTTCTGACAACCATTTTGGTCTTTTCTTCCTTTCCAGTCTTTTTAGTGACCTTTTGCTTTCTTCATGGATGATGTTCTTGATGTCATCCCACAGTTCCTCTGGTTTTTGGTCATTGGTATTCAGTGCATTAAACACATTCTTTAGATGGTCTCTAAATTCAGGAGGGATATAATGAAGTTCATATTTTGGCTCTTGTGGACTTGTTTTAATTGTCTTCATCTTCAACTTGAACTTGCATATGAGCAGTTGATGGTTTGTTCCACAGTCAGCTCCTGGCCTTGTTTTGGCTGAAGATATTGAGCTTTTCAATCACCTCTTGCCACAGATGTCATCCATCTGATTCTTGTGTATCCATCTGGTGGAGTCCATGTGTACAGCCACCATTTATGTTGTTGAAAAATGGTATTTGCAATGATTAAGTCATTGGTCTTGCAAAATTCTATAAGTGATCTCCAGCATCATTTCTATCACCAACGTCATATTTTCCAACCACCAGTGATTCTTCTTTGTTTCTAACTTTTGCATTTCAATCACCAGTGATAATCAACACATCTTGATTGTATGCTTGGTCTATTTCAGATTGCAGATGTTGGTAAAAATATTCAATTTCCTCATTTTTGGCTTTGGGAGTTGGTGTGTAAATTTGAATAATAGTCATATTAAATGGTCTTCCTTGTAGGCATATGAATATTATCCTATCACTGATAGTAGCATTGTACTTCAGGATAGATATTGAAACATTTTTTGTTATGATGAATGCACACTATTCCTCTTCAATTTTTCATCCCCAGCATAATGTGTCATATGGTTGTGTGGATCAAAATGACCAAAATCATCCATTTCAGCTCACTAATGCCTAGAATATTGATCTTTATGCATTCCATTTCTTTTCTGACAGCTTTCAATTTTTCTAGATTCATACTTTGTACATTCCATGTTCCTATTATTAATGGATGTTCACAGCTATTTCTTCTCATCTTGAGTCATGCCACATCAGCAAATGGAGGTCCTGAACGCTTTACTCCATCTACATCTTTAAGACCAGTTCTACTTTGAGTAGATAGCTCTTCCCCAGTCATATTTTGAGTGCTTTCTGACCTGAGGAGCTCATCTTTCAGCACTATATTGGACAATGTTTCAGGGTTATTCATAAAGTTTTCCAATAATATATCAGACAGTGTTTCACTGCTATTCATAAGGTTTTCACAGGCCAATTTTTTGAAAGGTGGATGGCCCCTTCCTTCTTCTGAGTCTGTCCACTGTCTGCTGAAACCTGTCCACCATGGGTGCCCTTTCTGGTATTTGAATTACTGGTGGCATAGCCTCTAGCCTCACCACAACACACAAGCCATTGCAGCACGACAAACTGACAGATGAGTGGTGGGCCTGACATAATAGGTACTTAAAACCATGAGTTCCTTCCTTTCCTCCTAAAAAACATCCATCTCAGTGAAAGTACAAAACATGACCATTGAGCTTGGACACCAGCCAAGCATTTAGTGTTGCATAGAACAGATGTGACAGTCTAGTCCTTTAATGTTGAAATCATGATAACTCAGGAAAAAGCTGGGATATGGCCACTAATCTTAGAAAAGAGTTCATTTTTTTCCCAAAGATAGTTTTACAAAATATCATCAGGCTATTTAATGCAGGATGAAGTCACTTATGAATCACAATGTTCTCTTATCTCTACCCTCATCATCATTACTTTCTTGCTTGGGTAAAGTCCTAGAAAATTCTCCTGGAATTCACTCAAATTGCCAAATTTTCCACTCTTTGCCCACATTTTCATTGCACACACCCACTCATGCATTGCTATCAATCACACATTCTGTATAGTTTTTGTAGCTAGGCACCAAAATTATAAATTTTTAGCTTTCTTGACCGTTTATGGGCTATTCTTAACATTAAAACCTAAAAGAACAAAAGCAATGAGAGCTTCTAATAATCCATAATTCATATGGAGAGTGTAAGGCATCTAAGTATTTAGCATGACACTTAGTATATGTTGATGGATCTTACTGAGTTTTCAAAACATAGCCATTCTTTGGCAAATTTAAGACTTATTTATATGATTTTTGATTAGTCTGTGAAAGTGTTTTATAATATACAAATTGCTATATAAATATTGTTTTTCCCTAAATAAATATATTAGAAATTTCAGTTTGGAGAGGAAATTCACTCAATAATCCTGGGATTCAATAAACATGGAATGATACCAAGAGAGTCTCATAGACTATCTGCTTAGAGTTAAAAGGTCATATTCATGTTCTGGTTCATAATTTTTCTCTGGTTTCTATGACCCTAGTCATATGGTAACTCTCTGAAAATTTAGTGGTTTCTAACAGGTGTCCAGATAGGCAGTGAAGTGTTTGCTAATGTGAATCCTTCTGGGTACATCCTCAGATTGTCACTAAATTCATCCCAAGTGAGGAAATTCAAGTGTTCCTGGAGGAAACACTGGATGGTCTGGAGAGCCTCAACCCTACTTGCACAAAGGCCTGTGGCATGTGGATGATTGCTGCTCTGAAGGAGCAAGGAGCTGCCTTGGAAGATCAGGTGAGCTGACAACTAGCTTTATAATCAAATGGAATTTTAATGCTTTTGAAAGCCCAAATTGGAACCTGACTCTTGGTTTGTCCTTTTGTGGGAAACAGGCAAGAGCATACACAACCTAGAAATGCTACAACAGAGACCCAAGTTATATACTGATGACAACGCTCATGTTGAGCACCTGGTCAACCTGCCCGGTTTGCCTCTTCAGTCTGTGATCATAAAAACCATCTAAATTGTCCTGCTCTGGCTGGATAAAACAGCTCTGAACCAAGGGCACTAGAACTCTAGAACACTGAGCTGTTAGATCTGTGAGGATGAGAGTAACCACATGGATGCTGTTGAAATGGCCATTGAGAGCCAGCAGAATTCTTAATTCCTCTGCCACTGTTCAAGCACACCACAGGTTTATTCTCCTGTGAGTAAGGAGAACTGGGTTAGAAAAGTGCCTTCACCTTCCTCCTTACTGGAGATTTAAGATTCACTGGAGTGAGCAGGGTGGAAATTCAGTAAGCTTGGTTAAAAGCTCCACATGGAGATGTTCTATTTTCTTTCCTAAAGTCAGAAGCA